GAGATAACCTGCCACCCCAACCCACTCCAGTGCAGGTCTCTAGAGCTACTTCCTCGTGTCCCTCCTGAGCCCCACAGTGAGCAGGGAGTGGGCAGGCAGGATGAGAAGTACTATAAAGGGACATATTAGGGTGCCAGAGGCTCTTCTCTCCTTTCCTGGGAGATCTCTGGTCCCCGTTGTCAAAACAGCCAAAGTATTCCCTCTATAGAACAAAGCCTCTGGTTCTTGAGATGCTCAGTCTTTCAGAGACACCCATCTAATGGAGGCGTGAACATAGCCAACGGAAACCAGAGCACTGACCACCGAACGCATGCACGAAAACGTTCACAGCAGCACTACGCAACAGCCCCAGAAGGAACCAACCCCAGTGTCTGTCAGCAGCAGAATGGATAAAGTAATATTGTATCTTCCTGCGATGGAATCTAGCCAGCAATGAAATGGGGTGACCTGCAACCACATGCCAGGATGTGGATGAAATTCGCAAGGATGACATTGAGCAAAAGTCAGGCACAAGAGCCCTCACACAATGGGCTCCATTTCTGAGAAGTGCCAGTGGCCTTACAAGAAGGCCCTGCCACTGGCAAATCTAAGCTCTTAGAGGGTGAGATAGGGCCAGCCGGTGGCATGGTTGTTAAGGCAGCAGGATCCCACATAGCTGACTGTGCAGTTTGAGTCCCAGAGCTGGAAGTTTGAAAAACACACCAGGCATGTGTATGTGCATACCCAAAATCCCAGGAGGAGAACGGAGAAGGGACAGCAGCATAGCCATCCACTCTGGGGGGATGATTTCTCATCCAGTCGCTCATGTGCAGCCTGTTCTCTCCCCCTGGACTGACAGGCCCCTGAGGGCCAGAGCAGGAGCATCTGCCTTCTGCCCTGTCCCCAGCTCCTAGCTCACCACCACCGCCAGGAGGTGCTCTAAATGTCGAAATCCAGCTGGCTCTGTGGCCTGGTGATTAAGGCACCCTGATCCCACATGGTCGACCACATGGTTCAACTACCAGACCCCGTGGCTTGAGAAACACACCAGGAGTGTGTGCACCTGTGTGTATGTGTGCCCAAAATCCCAAAGAGACGGCGGAGGAGAGATTATGGCACAAGTATTACCCGTGGGGGGGTGCTTCCTCTTCTCCCTCTCGCTCTAGCTCTCTCTGGCAAATGCACATGGCCTCTAGCAAAAAAGAACAAAGCTTAAAACAGTGTCAGATGGATGAATGGCCAGGTCTGCCTGTCTTGCCTCTCTGAAAGGCAAAAATTGCATCTGGGGATAAAATGCTCATCTTCCAGGACCAGGACACCTGCGATGTAGCAAGGGTCTGCCACTTACTCATGTGACCTCAGGCAAATCACTCCTCCCTCCAGGCCTCAGTGTACTCTGTGAAAGATGAGGGGAGGGCAGGTCAGGGCCATGGGTGGGCTTGAAAGAAACTATGACACTGTGCATGTGTGTGTGCATGGGGGCTAAGTGTGGGTGTGTGCATGGGTGGACACACACTTCCCTAGCAAGAGTAGTATTCATAGAATTCGTCAGACTCTCAAAGGGATCTGTGACTTCAAAAGACTCAGAACCAGGGGGACCAGCAGTTAGCGTGATGGCTATGTCGCTGAACTCCCATGTAGCTGACTGCAGATCGAGTCCTGGACCCGGTGGCTTAAACTCACTCTGGGCGCATGTGCGTGCGTGCCCAAGATCCCGAGAGAAGAATGGAGGAAAATGGATTGTGGTGTGGCCATCCTCCCCCCGCCCGGGGGGAGGGGTGATGGAGTGCTTTCTATCTCTCTGTCTCTCTCTGTCTTTCTGGTGAGCGCGCACAAGCCCTATAGCAAAAACCTTTCAAAAAAAAAAAAAGAAAGAAAAAGGAAAAAAAAGAAAAGGAAAAAAAAGACTCAGAACCACTGACCAAGGTCCTTTTCAGTCCTGAGGGGTCTATGATTCTATTTGGTCATGGAAAAGTCATGACTTGTTTTTACATAAAAAATACATCATGACTTTTCCAGTGACCCAACATATATAAGGAAGTAATTCAACCCATTGGAGAGACTTAGATTCAACCTCATAATTTCCATTACTCCCCACTACAGGACCTGGGCCCCTAGAGCTCTTAAACTCCATGGAGCCCTGGGCTGGGAGACTAGCCAACCCCAGGGGCTGGCTTTGGAAGGGAGGAGGCAGAAGCAGCCCAAAGTCTCCTCCCTTCTGCTCCCGCCACCATTCGACAAGCACTCACTTGTCTTGGGATATGTCAGAGAGCAAGGAGGCAGGGCTGGCACCTGGAGATGCCCGCCAGGCCCCTTGGCACCCAGGTCAGAGAAGGTTTGGCGGGAATGCACAGGAGGGATGCCAAGCCCCGCCCTGTGGGCTGTTGTGTGGGACCAGAGGAGGGTTGGGAGCACAGGCCAACTAGGGGATCCAGAGAAGGCCTCCTGAGAGGTGCAGGGTCACAGCCCCAGGCTCTGATAGTTGGAGGCCTGGGAACCAAGGCCAGTCACCCTTCTTGGGAAGTACAGCCGTAAGTTTGGGCCAGAGGAGAGTGGTGCAGGCGTGGGGCCTGGAGGACGAGGTAACCCGCAGTGTGGTCCGAGCAGAGGACAGCTGCCTTGGGGGAGATGAGTGGGCAGCATGGCAGGGGAAGAGGACAGTGTGGCCTGGGCAGGAGAGGGCTGCTGGGGGACCGAGAACAGTGAGGCTGGGCATGGAGCTGGCAACCCAGCCCAGCCTGTGCTCAGGGACAGAAGCTCGGCCTGTGGTGGGAGAGGTGGCAGGTCTGTGGCAGGACTGCAGGTGGGCGTGCCCTGGCTGGCAGCCCAGATGCCTGGGTACTTTCTAAGCCCTGGTTCCTGGGGGAGGGGGGGTGAGAGCCCATGAGATGTTTATCGACCACAAGAACGTGGCATCATGCCTCCTCTGAGGGCCCTGTGATAGGCAGCCCCACTGCTCGCTCCCGAGCCTGAGTTACTGAAGTCCCCTGAGAGCTGCACTGTGAATGGGGGGCCTGGAGGGGAGAGAGAGCCACTGGTCACAGCAACCGGCACCCCCTGCCCCCCGCCAGAACCAGGGCACCCAGGCTGGGATGGAGGTTTTATCTGTGCAGATCAAGTAGACAGTGAGTCACAAGCAAGCTCCAGGCTCTCTCCAGAGGCCGCTCAGAAACCAGCTCATCCAAATGCAGACAGACACTCAGCCCTGTCCCTGTCCCTGCCCCTGTCACTGTCACACTGCTGTGCATACACCCCTCCCCCATCTCTCCTCTCCAGATGACCCACCTGCCTCCATCTCGGCCCCAAGTGCCTGTCCCTGTCCCTGGCCACCTCATCTCAAGTCTGGTTGTGTGGAGGTGGCAAGACAGGCGGATGGGGGGAGTCAAGGAGGTCCAGCCACAGAGGGAGCCCCAAGGACACAGGCTCAGCTCTCAGGATGAAACGAGAAAGTCAAGCAAGCTTGGAGGCAAGTCCGAGGAGTGGGGAGTGAACTAGGAGCCGGGTGGTTTCGGTCCCCAGGAGCTTTAGCAAGCCAGAAGTAGGAGCCATCAGCAAAAATCAGGGTAACCCAGGTCCTCTACACCAACCCGCAAATACCAGGAAATGAACTCAAATTCTCAGACAGAAAACTGGGATTGGAAGAACCTTCTAGCCAAGAAGAATCTGAGATAGAAACAGATAGAGGAGGGAAACTGTGAACCTTGAGGATCAAGCAAAGGCTCTGAGGCAGGGGAGATGCCCTGATGACCTCCAGGGGAACTTGCAGTCTGAGAGGTTGGCCATGTCACCCCTGTCCTCTGGACTCCCTGCCCCTTTGCCAGGACCAAGAAGCAGTGGTCTGGGGTAGCCATTTGACACCTCAAGACCTCCGCCTCCTCCAGGACCCCAAGCCAGGCCCAGGCCTCCATCAGAATCACATCAGCCCAGGCCACAACTACACCCCAACAAGCCTGTCGCTCCTCATGGTTGGTCACCAGGGTGATGGCTGGGGCTAGAGTTTGAGAAGGATGGAGTGTTTGGTTTACTAGTGCCCAGCCCTGTGTCTGGCGTTGTGGAACATAACCACCAGCATGTCATAATCCGTGCCCTGGAGGGACATCCAGTCAAGGAGCCAGGGTGGGGGTGCGGGGGGGTCAGTGGGCGCACATGCACACACACATATACAGCCCAGCACAGTCACACCTGGCCTCACTGGCTGCCCCAAGCAGGGGGCTGGGATGTGGCCACAGGGTAGCGTCTGAGTCACCCCATCTGTGCCTCAGGTGGAGGAGGGTCAGACGCCAGCATAATCCAAACCACAACACAACCAGTAAATCTGAGCCCCCCGGCACAGGGGCAGGTTAGATGAGGCAGGGAGCCTAGAGGGTAGCTACCCAGTCCTGGGTGAGTCCAACCACCTCTCCCCCCCTCCTCCTCCTCTTCCTCCTCCCCCTCCTCTTCGTGGAAACCCACTGCCTGCACCATACCAGGCTGGGTGACTCCCCCGCAGAGTGTCCCCTCCCCCCATGCAGAATAAACCCTGTCTCCCAGCTCAGACCTGCCCCTCGCCTGGTCAGTCTCCCACCTGCAGGCTCCAACAGGTACCTAGAAGAGAGGATGCAGGGGGAGGGTCCAGCTGTCCCCATTATCAGTCCTTGCTCAAATGGGGCCCTCCTGGCTACAGAGCCCTGGTCAAGGTGGACAGCCACAGCTCCCCGAGGACCAGCGCACTGGAAATGAATCCTTCCCCTAGCACCCCGCCCCGCCCCCGTTGGTAGCTACTAAATCCACCTGAGCTATTTGCCCTTCTAAGGAGTCAGTCCCACGTCACCCTTCTCCCAAGGGCACCAGAGACCCAGGTGAGCCGCACCCTAGCCGGCTGCCCCTTCACCTGTCCTGCTCCAGTCCCCACAGTGCTGCTCGCTGCCCAAACGCTGACCTGCGACACTTTCCTGGCTGCCTCCTCACCTGTCTAAGGTGGCCTGGGCTCTGTGGGCCACCCTCTCCAGACTCTTCACCCACCCGCTTCTGCAGCACCCTACCTGAAGCAGTAACCGCCTAGTCTCTGCGCGGGCCGAACCCCCGGGCTCCCAGCACTCCGCCCGCGCCGGGGCCGGGGGACTCCCCGGGGGCTGGGGGCCACAGGGGGGCCCGGGCACGTCGGGAGGGAGCAGCGACCGCCCCGGCCCGGCCCCCGCCGGAGTCCGCGCCTTCTCCGCCCCCGCCGCCAGGAAGCCGGGCAGCGCCGGGCCTGGCAAGGGGCGGCGACAGGAGCGCCCGGACTCAGCCAGTGACAGGAGACCCGAGGGCTCGGGGGACGCGGGGAGGGGTTGCAGCGGGATCCTGGGGACAGGGGCCGCGGACAGGCCGAGCTGGGAGCGCTAGAGAGAGCGACGGGTGACGAAGAGGCAGGGGCAGGTAAGGGAAAAAACTGAGACTAAGAGTCAAAGACACGGGGACAGGTGGGGACAGGCAGGGAGTCAGGACAGAAGCTCGGAATCGCTGCACGCCAGTGTTTACATGCGCTTCCTGGGGGTGTGAAAACGGCAGTTCTCAAGTGTCCCTGCTCTCCTGCTCTCTGTCCCCAGCCTGGAAAAAAAAAAAAAAAAAACGAGAGCCTAAAAGACCCCAACCTCAGGGAAGCAGTGCACAGCCGCCTGGGAGGGCCACAGCTCACCTGGGCAACCCACCTGACCCATTGCCCGACCCGGCATCTCATAGGTGGTTTCACTTAAACCCTCTTAGGGGTGAGTGTCAGGACTGGGAGGTTGGCACTGGTGCCTCATCGGAACCCCTAAGCAGACGGTGAAGAGGAGAAGGGAGATACACGATGGGACCTCATTCTCCCGTCCCTACCTGCGCTACCCTGGAATCTGGTGACAGTAAAGAGACAAGCACAGGAGGTAGCAGGTGGGACAACAACGCAGCCTGTGTGCGCCACCTGGTGGTAGGAGAGGAGAAAGACAAGAGCAAGGGAAAAGGTGAAAGCAACTGTAGCAACCTGCAATGGCCTCTCCACGGTGTGCATTTGGCCAACAAGTGACCCTACCCCAGGTCTTCCTGGGGGAACCATCCCCATCTCACCCTTCTGCCCCTTGATCCTGTCTCTGTCACTTCTCTCCAGCAGGAGGCAGGACCTTCTGCTCCTCCCCCTCTGAGTCACCTTTCCCACTCCAGGGTGCTGGGTCTGGCCTGAGTCACTCCCCAGGCGCACACTCTGGAAAATGCTGTTCAGAGCCCACAGTCCCTAAGGACCCACACAGGCTGCAAAGCCCTGCTCTCCATGCCCCAGCCAGCCAGGCCGGTGAGTAGAGGGAGATGCCCAAGCTCTAGGGTGGCTGGAAAGGGAGCGATGCGGAGAGAGGGGCAGAGGATCCCCAGATGGGACAAGGGAGAGGAGCCAGAGCATCTAGTTGTTTGTAGATTTCGTAGAAGATCTAGATTGGGAGGGCTGCAGAGACCCTCAGGTCCACCCCTCGGTCTACAGATGGGGAAACTGAAGCGCAAGGAAGGCGAATAACTTCCCCAAGGTCACACAGTGAGTGAGTGGCCATGGATGGAGACCCAGGTCTCTTGATCCCTAAGCCTGTGCTTCTTGTACCCCACCCCCACCCACCCTCCTCAGTTACCTCCTTTCTTACTCCCCTGCACTCCACCACGTCCCAGATTTATGCCTCCCACCCCAGACTCAACCACTGCCTGGGAGGCAGGACTCCCGGGTTTTCCACCCCATGCCTGCTCTTGACTCCAGGATCTCAGAATAAGCCCACCAGCCCTCAGGGCCACAGTGTGCCTCTCTGAGCACAGAACTCGCTGGAAGAACAGGCCAAGAATCCGCTGGGAGAGAGCAGCGGGGTTAAAGCCAGGCAGTCTCCCACATGAAGGGGCACTGGCCTGGGCCCAGCCCCAGGGCTGGCCTTCTCTTCTGCCTCCCTCTCCTCAACAAATGCACATTTTCCACTCACTGGGTCCAGGAAAGGATGAATGTGTCTCCAGGACAGTGACTGCTCTGGCGAGGCTGAGGGCTACCGGTGGGGAAGGGAGTGGTGTTCTCTCAACCCAGCGTCCCTGTGGCGTGAGCATTCATGGGCCACTCATGGCAAGCTGGGGTCGAGAACATGGCCTGTGTGGACATGCAGAGACCTGGATTCAAATTCTGGCCTCACCACTACGGCTTTGACTTTGGATAGAAGTTTACATTCTCAGGGCCAGCAAGGAGTGGAGTGGTTAAGGCGCTGGATCCTACATGACTGACTGTGTGGTTTGAGTCCCACCAGAGGCTTGAGAAACACACCAGGCATGCAAGTGTGTGTGCCCACAATCCTGACAGGAGAATGTACAAGAAGGAATTGTAGCATGACCAACCCCCCAGGGGGGCGATTTCTCACTTTTTCTCTGTCTCTCTCTCTGTCTCTCTCTCTCTCTCTCTGCTGTGAGTGCATGGGACCTATAACAACAAAACAAAAAGCAGCAAAACGTTTTACCCAACTACTTAACTCACTGTGTGACCCTAAATAAGTCACATTCCCTCTCTAGGCTCAAATTCTTCCTCTGTATAAGGAGGGAAACAGACAGCTCAGCCCAGAGGGATCCTTCCTAGGCATATCTTCCAAGTCACAAGGGATCGCATCATTTCTAAGTACCCATGGCAGAAGAGAGGGCTGTCCTCAAGGTCACCAAGGACCTGAAAGGTGAGTGTATTCCGAGAGATTTTCTGGGACTGAACTGCAAGAAAAGTGAAGGGTCTTGGGAGCCTCTCGGTCCGAGCCCTTGCTACCTAACGTCTGATTTCCACCATCCATCCTGCAGCTGCCGTCTCCACCATCCTCCAGGGCTACGGGGACGGACTGGGACCAGTGACCGATGCCAGTGCTGAGCTGCACAGACTCTGTGGCTGCCTGGAGTGGCTGCTACAGGTGGGACCGCCCTCTCCTTTCCCAGGCCCCTCCCCAGGCATAGATAACCCGGAGGGCTCCCCCCAGATACTGAGAGAAGGGCCACCGCCCCCATTTCTTACTGTGCTGACAGCTAAACTCACTTTTGGAGGGGGTCCTTGCAGGTAGGGCAGACTGGGGTGAAATGGGAGCAGGGATTCGGCTTCCAAGACGTGGGTGTCCCCTTCCTTCTTGCTGCCAGTTAGAGCCCCACCGTACCTACCCCTAGCTAAGCCCGCTATCTGCTGACTTTAATCCTGACTGTAACCCCCTGAGGTGCCTGATGGTCTTCCCCCACGCATGCAAACTTCCTCCTTGTCTGATTCATCTCCAGCCAGTGTGCCACTCATCTGCCGCCCTCCAGCTATCCCAGCCTCAGTGACATGCCCAGCGCACACCAGGCTCACTCCTGCCTCAGGGCCTTTGCGTTTACTAGTCCTTCCGCCTGGAATGCCATTCCCCCAGAAAGTCGCATGGCACACTTGCTCATTTCTTTCTGATCTAAAGGCCTTCTCTGGCTACCTAACCTCAAACTTCAATATGTGCAACACACACACACGCACTCACCACACTTTCTATTCTTCTCCCTGCTTCATTTTTTCTCCCTAGTAGCCATCATTATCTAATATGCTATCTGTTTTTCTTAGTTGATCTGTTCATTGTCTATCTCCCCTACCAAGGTATAAGCTCCATGAAGTCAGTTTGTTCATTGCTACACTCTCAGGGCTTAGGACAGGGCTGGGCACATAGTAGGTGCTCAGTAAGTATTTCTGAATGAATGCATGAGAGCACTGAGGCTCAGAGGGATCAAGCAGCTTGCTCCCAGTCACACAGCCAGTATAGGTAGAGGTAGGACTAGAAGCCAGGTCTGTCTGCAGGAGCCCTTTCCTCTACCACGTGTCCACTCAGCGTGCTGGAATGCAAGGCAGGTTCTGAAAAGATGCATTTCAACACTTCCCTTTCCTTCTTCTTGGTCCCAGTTTGACCAGAAAGAGCAGAAGAGCTTCCTGGGGCCCCGGAAGGATTACTGGGACTTCCTCTGCACTGCCCTGCGGCGACAGCGGGGAGACACAGAGCCGGACCGCTTTGTCCACTCTCAAGACAAGGTATCCAGGGCCAGGCAGAGGGAAAGTTGACCTCATGAGCATGATGGGGCCCTGCCAGCAGGCCAGTGACAGGAATGGCTGGTAGTGGGGGGACACAGCCCTGCCTGGGGCCCACTCCTGCCCATCCTTGCTCCCTGAACATAGACCCCTCACCTGGTCATCGTCCATCATCCCTGCATAGCCCATCCCCCATCAGCTCCTTTCCCTCCATGTCCTGCCAGCCCTCTCCACACCAACGGCTGGCTCCCGTCTCTGTCTCTGTGCACACTGAGCTCCCTCTGTCCCAATACCACCCCTCTCCTGTTCCCCCTGTGCATTCTGCAGTTGAAGACCCCCCTGGGAAAAGGTCGTGCCTTCATCCGCTTCTGCCTTGCCCGAGGACAGCTGGCCGAGTCCCTGCAGCTCTGCCTCCTGAGCCCAGAGCTGACCAGGTGGGGCTTCGGGGACATCCGCCCATGCATACCAACTGAGCTGCAGTCCCCCCATGAAGGAGCCCTCGTGTGCCCCCAGATGAAAGGTTTAAGGTCAAGGACAACCAAAATGAGTCATGAAGGAAAAGTCAAGGAAGAAAGTGCAAGAGGAGGTTAGAACCAGCAGTCCTGGGGCCAGGAGATAGCATAGCAGTTACATCACTGGACTCCTACATGGCCAATTGCAGTTCGAGTCCTGGACTTGGTGGCTTGAGATTCATGCCAGGCATATGTGTGTGCATGTCCAAGATCCTGAAAGGAGAATAGAAGAGAAGAGATTGAGGCATAGCCACTTCCCTTGGGGGGTGATTTCTCACTTTCCCTCTCGCTATCTCTGTCTCTCTCCCTGGTGAGAACATGCACCTTTCAGCTCTGAGAACAGGGCCTGTCACATAGCAAGCACTCAGTAAGTATTTATGAATGAATGAATGAGAACACTGAGACTCTACTCTTTTTTTTTCCAAGGTTTTTGCTATAGGGCATGTGTGCTTGCCAGAAAGACAGAGAGAGACAGAGAGACAGAAGGTGATAAATCACCCCTCAAGAGGGGATGACCACACTGCAGTCTCTTCTCCTCCATTCTCCTCTCAGGATCTTGGGCACACACGCACATGCACCCAGCATGAGTTTAAGCCACCAGGTTCAGGACTCAAACTGCTATCGACTACATGGGAGTTCAGCGACGTAGCCATGACACCATCTGCTGGTCCTGTGGCTCTACTCTTACTGGTTGTGTGACTTGGGTGTCCTGCTCCCAAAGGGCCCCAACTCTGCCTGGGAAACTGTCCCATTATGGTGTACAGTGGAGGCTGATTCTCTGAGGTCAGCGGTGGCAATAGCACCAGGTCAAAGGCCAATGGTGCTGGCCGCTGTTAACACAGGGAGTGGTATGGCCCCCGGAGCCCTCTGCTGTGCCCTGAACTCCAGGAAGACATCCTGGACTCACTCTACGCTCTCAATGGAGTGGCCTTCGACTTGGACCTGCAGCGGGCAGACCTGGATGGGGCCTGGCCCATGTTCTCAGAGTGAGTGTGTGCAGCATGGAGGGAAACTTCTTTCCAACCCCTGCTCCCATGACCCACATATCTCAAGTAAGCTCTGAGTGTCAGTCTCCAGCCCTGTCACTTCTTCCCTTCTTCTTACCCCTTGCCCCTTGACCCTCCACTTCCTGAACCTTCTGTCTTCCCAGTGGGTCCTCATGCTGTCTCATGGTGCTGTCTGGATTACATACTCACTGGAGATTGGATGGGTGGTTGGGGGTGGAGGACTGAACAATGAATGAGGTGGGGTGTCGGGATGGAAGGTATGGATGAGTGGAAGGTGGGAAGCCCGAATGGATGAAGGAGGGGATACAGAGGGTAGAGGTTGGGAAGGTGGGAAGGTGGTGGGATGAAAGGGTGACGGAAAATATGGGGTATCCTGTATCTGGGGACTAAGCCCACTGCTGGAAAAAGGCCCAGGGTCCCCCTGCCTCTTTCACTTCCAGATCACGCTGTCCCAATTCCAGCTGGACCCAGGGAAGAAGACCCAGAAAAAACAAAGACTCCTCAAAAGAGGTGCCTCTGCCCTCCTTCACTCTGAGCTGCCTCTTCCCCATCTCATTGAGCGGTAACTGGGCTTGGCCCTCTGAACGTACAGAGAGCCCTGACCCAACTGGCTGGGTAGATGGAGGCCAGCGTGTGGACCTGGGGACAGGAGAGCCACAGAGAGGAGCCATAATCCTAGTGGGATGGGGATGTGGGGGAAAGGGAACACCAGCTCCATCTGCAGGAGCCACTGGGGTCCAGGGGAGGAGGAGGCGCTAGCAAGGGTGACTGAAGTGGGCTGGAAACAGACAAGGGAGACGACCTCTGCTGACCCCTGCACCGGACAATTTGCACATGCCTAGTTCGGTTCAGGGAGTGACTGCAGAACCTGACTGCCTGGCTCGAACCCCAGCTCCACCTCTGACTAACCATGGTCCTTGGGCTGATGACTCGGCCTCCCTCGTAGGGCGATTGCGAGGATGAACTGAGAAAACCCATGCGCTGCCCAGAGCGCGGCTCCTGGCTCTGCCGTATGCTCACTGTGTAGCAGCCGTGGTTCTCATCGCCGGGTGCTCATCCCTCCACACGCACGCCTTGCACCCCCACCAGTTCCCAGCTTCTGTTCCAGCAGACAAACTTTAAGGAACACCTGGCAGTGCATGTCAAGTGTAGTGACACACGTGGATAGAGAGGCATGGTGGCACAGAGAAGGCTCCCTGGGGGAGGTCCTCTTAGCTGGTGTCAATCTATTTGAGTTTCATCCCCACCCTACGAACCAAGTAGTAGTATCCCCATTTTACAGATGAGAAAACCAAACCACAAAGTCAGGTTCAGGAGGGAGGAGTAAAGGAATGGGGCAGAGGAACTTAGGGGGGACCAGATCAATGCAGAAGCCGCTTGAGAAGGAGGGAGAAGGAGCAGGCCAGAGGGGAGGAAGGAAAGGGCTTTGAGACACGCTGCTGTCCTCTCACCGCATCAAAGCCTGGGTCTTGCAGCACCTGGGGAGTTGCTGAAATCCAGATTTCTGGTTCACTAAAACAAAATTTCTAGTGGGAAGGTCCAGGAATCCACATTTTTACCAGGAGTGAACCGTGGCCTCTCCCAGACACCAGGTCAGTGAATTGGTGCTGAGAGGACTGACAGCCTTGGGGACTTCCGTGCAGATCTCGGCTGCATTTGGAGCCCCCAGAGGAGTTCAGCTGGAGGAGCCACACACTAGCCAAGCCGGCTGTCTGCAAGACGCACCCAGGGAGGACTGGGGGACTGGATTCTCTGGGTCCCAGCAACACAGCCATCCTCCCCAGTTTGGGGGAACAAAGAGTGACAATTCCAGGAGTTTAGAGTCCCTGCAGAGCATGTGGAAACCAGGGGTTGAGGGGCATAAGCTAGACCAGGAGGAGGGAGCCCCGAGGACTGAGCTTTTCCGAGAATCCTCAGCACCTAGAACCCCGAGGCAGGGAGAGAGGGCTAAGGGGGCTCAAAAGGAGGGGACAGGAACAGAGACTGAGTGCATAGGGCCCCTGCTGGGTTCAAAGGGTCAGAGAACAACAGAGGATGCTCATGGCCAGAGGCTACCCTCCCAGCCTCCAACCCCAGAGAAAAGTTAGAAGAAGCAACGTCAGGGAGGGGGCGGGAGTGGGAGGAGCCTAACGGTCTGGAGGAGTCCTGGGTCTGGGACAGCGCCACTGCTGAGAAGCCAGAAGAGCAAGCAGGTGTGACCTGTATGGCCAGGAAAGAGGAGCAAGCAGAGGTGCCCCTGCAGGACATGGTCAAGGTAAGACCAGTTGAACCTCGTCCCCATGTAGTCTCCCCTCTCTAACCTGGTCCACAGACAAGGCTCTCCAGTAGTAGCCCAGGGGCCATTCCAGCCCACAGACCAAGTTCTTTTGGTGAGCACAGAATTACTATTTGGGGATGCCTTCTGAAAGCCATGCATTCTCCAGCTGACCAAAGTCCCCACCTCTCGCTACATCCGACCCACTTTATTCTTCAGTATTGCCTGCCTAGCCCCTGGAGGCATCTGAGTTTAAGGTCCCTTCCCAACAGTATTTTTAGGGCAGACCCCACCTCATTGCACTAGTTCATGCTTCCCTGGAGGTTGCCCAAGATTATTACCAAGCCTCTGTTCATCCTCTCCCCCCAGCCAGAGTCTTCCTGACCCCTACGCTCTGAAATTCCACCCTTCAGTGCATGAGGAAATGGTGTCCCCAGGCTTCCCTGGGCCAGGGCCTAGGACAGAACCAGACATCCCAGTTCCCAACACTGTCTCCAGTCCTGCCCTTCACCCAAGGGCATGGCCTGGAGTCCCTGGGGAGGTTTGCAGGTCAACCCCAGGCTGGGGTCTTAGCCTTCTCCCTCAGCTTCCCCTTCTTTTCTTTCCACCCTCAAGAGCCTCCAACGGAGGCTCCAGACGGCAAAAGAGCAGGCCCAGCACCAGGCGCAGCTGCTGGAGGAGCAGGAGGTGCAGCTGCAGACACTCAGGGGGCAGCTCAGCAGGTAACCTTGGCAACCACCAGCTCAGGCTCCTGGCCCTGCTCAGTTTCGGTCAAGCCAGCCAGGTCTTCGTCTTTGTCTGTCTCTTTCATTCTTTTGGATGAGGAAACTGAGGCTCAAAGATGTTACACAACTCACCCAAGGTCAAGTTAGCACAGAATGGAGAGTCAAATCCTCCAGAACCAATGGGCTTCAACACTACCCTTTGGCCAATACTTCAAGTGCCTATATTTCAGTCTCTGCACCCTCAGCATCTCTCCATTAAGCATCTTTGTCTTTACTCTCATCACAGTGACCTCGAGAGCCCAGGGCACACTGTCTCTACCCTCCCCCCTCAGTCTCTCAGAGTCTCATTTCTTTTTTATAATTTATTTTTTAAAATATCTCTGGAACCAGCAGATGGCATAATGGTTACATCACTGGACTCCCATGTAGTCAACCATGGTTCAAGTCCTAGACCTGGCAGCTTGAAACTCATGCCAGGCACATGTGCATGCATGCCCAAAATCCCAAGAAGAGAATGGAGAAGAAGGGATTGCAGGTGGCCATCCCCCCGGCAGGTGATTCCTTCCTTTCTGTTTCCCTGTCTCTGTTTGTCTTTGCAGACAGCACAGGTGCCCTATAGCAAAAATCTCTAAAAATCTCTAAAAACAAAAACAAAAACCTTCCCCTGGGCTGGCCAGTGGTGTGGCAGATAGAGTGGCTGGATCCGACATGGCTGACTATGTGGTTTGAGTCCTGGACCCAGCAGTTTGGAGGATGCGTCAGGCACATATACATGCATGCATGCCCGAAATCCCAAAAGGAGAAATGGAAGAGAGGGGATTGCAGCATAGCGCTGCCTCAGCGGGGGGGGGGGGGGGGGGGGCATTTTCTCGCTTTCCTTCTCTCTCGCACACACATGCATGCATGCTCAGACTCTCTCCAGAGAGCACATGTACTCTCTAGCAAATTTAAAAAAAAAAAAAAAAAAAAAAAGGCCTCTGCCTTGCAAAGACCTTCCTTGGCTTGACTCAATTTCTTTGTGTCTCTCTCTCTCTTGGTCTCCTCCTGACCTGATCTGCCGCCTGCCCCATCTCCCTCTTCCATGTGGCCAATACCTGCCCCTGGCCAGGAGGCAACAGTCTGACCCCTGAGCAGAGTCTGAATAGCTGTGATTCAGACTGAATCATTGGGAAATCTACTGAGTGTCTGCTTAGCAGGGTGAGAGGCCTGGGAGCCCAGAAACCAACCCGAAAAGGCCCCGGGGAGCTCCTCCCAACACACACGCAGCAGAGCCTGCCTGTGTGGTCAGCAGATTCCAATGATTCGGTGTCAGTGTGAACTGAAGGTCCTTGTCCACTCAGCCACCTTCTGTGGGATCAAGATAAGCTGGAGGGAGCAGCTGGAAGGCTGCAGGGAAACTGCCCAGCCCCAGGATGCTCACTGTCATCCTGCCACCTGTCCTTTAGGCATCCAGTCACACCCACACTGTGCATGCCCACTCTGAGCCTGGCCTGGTCGGTAGACAGAAATTCTCTCGTGGACCAAAGAGACAGAATTCCTGCTTCGTGGAGCCTGCATTCTAGTGAGGGAGGCAGTTGAGAAATACAATAAGTGAGTGAAATGCATAGAATGTCAGACAGGATAAGTTCTCAGAGAAAGAATAAGGCAGGCTGGGGCAATGGGACATGTTAGAGGTGATACTTTAAGATAGCATGGCCAGGGAAGTCCTCCCTGGAAAGGTGGCATTTGAGTAAAGACCCAAAGAAAGTGAAGAGCGAGTCCTTGGATAAATGGTAGAAGAATGTCGCAGACAGAGGGCACAGCAAGAGCAAAGGTCCTGAGATGGGCCTGGGTGTGGCAGTTTCTGGGAATCCCAGGGACGCCATTCTGGCCACTGGAGTGAAGCGAAGAGGCTAGGAAAGGCAGGTAGGCACAGGAGGGGGGGGTGGGGGGGGGGGGGGGGTTTGCATGGAGAGCCCAGCAGGTCATCGAAAGGACCTTGGCTTTGACTCAGAATCACATGGGAGCCATTGAGAATCCTGAGCAGAGGAGGGGTGTGACCTGACTTTTAATGTTAACCGCCAGCAGGTGGCATGGAGGTTAAGGAGACTGGATCTTACATGACCGGCTTCATAGTTCAAGTCCCAGACGGGGCAACTTAAAAAACATACCAAGCATGGGTGCGTGTGTGTCCAAAATCCTGAGGGGAGAGTGGAGGAGAAGAAATTGCGACATAGTATCCTCCCTGAGGGGTGCTTTCTCACTTTTGCGCTCTCTCTTTCTCTCTCTCTCTCTATCTCTCTCTCTCTCTCTCTCTCGTAAGCATACATGACCTATGGCAAGTCAAAACGTGTGTGTGTGTATACTTGTGTTTATGTATAGGTATGTTTATATGCTTTTTAAAATTTTTAGCAAGTCAATGGTATTTAGTATATCCAGAATTGTGCATTCATCACCACGATCAGCTTTTTTGTATTATTTATTATTTGTATACATTCGGTCATTTTTCCTCATTTCATTTGTAAAGAGATTTTACCCAACATGATATATGCCACACAGCAGATCAAGTTATTATTTTATTCATGATAGAGAGTGCTCATGTGCTTATGCACACAAGACAGAAAGAGACTCTAGACAGGTCTCACTGTGCCACGATCCCCTTTCTCCAGCCTTTCAGTTTGTCTGGATCTTAGGCTCGCCGCCATACCTGGTGTGTTTCCAAGCCAGCCAGGAGATCCAAACCCGTAGTCAGCCATGGGGACTTCAGCTCTGTAGTTTAGTTCCCTACCACTGCACCACCAGGCTGGGCCACCACAAGCAATCTTAGAAAATTTGCATCATCCCAAAGAGAAAGTTTGTATCCATTAGCAGACACTCCCCAGTTCCTTCTCAACCTTCTCAGCCCGAGGCAGAGGCAACCACCTTCCGTCCCTATAGCTCTGTCTATTTTGGACTAACATGTATAAAAAGGCCCCTTGCAGCTAGACTGTGCGCAAGCAAAGGTGGACCAGGGAGACCAGTGAGGAGCCCCAGCTGCCCTGCAGGGGAGGGTGAAGGGGCCTCCGACAGCCTGGTGGCAATGGCACGGGAGAAGCTGCTCAATTCTGGATAAATTTTGAAATGGAACTTTTTGGAACAATGGCTATAGGGTCCAAGAGAAAGACAGACATCAAGAATGACACCAGGTTCATTTGTTTGTTTGTTTTTCTCTTTGGTTTTGGAGGTTTTTGCATTAGGGGGCAAAAACTCTCTCTCATGGGCTTGCCAGAGAGAGAGTCAGTGAAAGAGAAAGTGAGCAATCACCTCCCAGGGCAATGGCCACGCTGAAATCTCTTCTCCGTTCTCCTCCTGGGATCTTGGCCACACACACGCATGAGCCCAGCGTGAGTTTCAAGTCACCGGGTCCTGGACTCCAACTGTGGTCAGACATGTGGGAGTCCAGCGACATAATTATTCTAGGTACTACAGGAGGCCAGGGCAGGGTTTGGAGCAGGGAGGTCTTGGTCTGACTTAGGTTGGTTGTTTGTTTGTTTGGTGTATTTTTGTTGTTGTTTTAATTGCTGTAGAGCACCTGTACTCATTAGAGAGCGACACCCCCAGGGGGAATAGTGATACCACAATCCCTTCTCCATTACTTTCTTGGGATTTTGAGCAAGCACGCACACACACACACACACACACACACACACACACACACACGCCAGGTGTTTTTTTCAAGCTGCTGGGTCCAGGACTCCAACCACTCATTTGGCCACAAGAAGTCCAGATGCCTTAACCTCCATGACACTGGCTAGCCCTGACTTAGGTTTTTAAAAGGCTCTGTGGTGTGGAGAATACAGTGGGGGTGGGCATAGCAGAAGCCCGCAGTGCAGAGCCTGGGCTGGACTCCATGGTGAGCCACAACAGGCCCCAGAGCCAACCAGCAGGGACCGTGAAAACGGCCTTGGAGCTGAGATACGGGTGCGCCAATGCCCACTTCGCAGCTTTCTGGCTGGGATCCTGGAAACAGTGGCCTCCCCTCTCTGGCCTCAGATCGTCCAGCTCCATTGGTCTGTAGGGCCATCTTTCCAACCAGCTGGGTCTCCTCTGCCCTTTGGGGAAGCCCTTGCAGCAAAGGAGATTAGGACAGATAGAAGCCAAAAGGCCCTTGGGGTAGGGAAGCAAGTAGATGTCCCCACCCCCCAAGATGGCAGTGTGAGCTTCTTTGAGGCCCACCAAGGGCTGTAAGTCTCCTTCCCTCTATCCTTCCTGCTGCACACGTGGGCTGGTGCCAGGAATCACCAGTGACCTGGGCCCTGTGTGGATGAGAGAGTAGAGAGACAACAGGAGCTTAGAGCTAGACAGACCTGCATTCAGACTTCTGCTCCTTCCACCTGTCGAGCTCAGTGACCCTGGGCAAGTGTCATTCCCTCTCTGAAGCTCTACTTTTGTCTCCTCTCAAAGGAGGATCATATTACCTGCCTCATACATTATGAAAATTAAATGAAACAAGGCTAAAAAACACAAAGCCTGGTCATTGGCATGTAGGAGGTGCTCAATAAATTTTACTTCCTTCCATGCACCTTCCTGTGCTAGGAGTGTCTGTCACCCTTGCCTAAAACACTTGCTTGGGTGGCTTCCCATTATACTCCTTGCAGGGCCATTGAGGGACCGATTAGGCCCTGCCACCACCTCCCCGCTTCCTCTCCTGCCATCACCACCCCTACTGTCCTTCTTCAGTCTTCTTTCAGTTTCTCAGACAAGCCCAGCTCTCTCCAACTTGAAGACCTTTGCATGTACCTGTCCCTGGCTCTCCTGGCTGATGTCTCATCTTTTGGTCTGCCTAAATGTCACCTCTCTGAGAAGCCTTCCCTGCTCTAGTCTCTCTCTGAGTTTCTCGTTTCTTGTGATCATGACACTAAACTCGATTACTTTTTGGTTCATCACTTGTTTTGACCACTGCCCCAAACATGCTATCAGCTCCACAGGAGCAGTAGCCAGTCCTCTGTCCTGGTACTCAAAATAGCCATTGGCACACAGTAGGTGCTTAATAAGCATTCCCTCCCACCCAAAGAGACTACCCCCGACCGCAGTAGTAGCAGAGAGACCCAGGATCACCAGACTGAGTGAGCTGACTCGCGAAATATCAACAGCTGAGAAATGAGAAGGCTGGAGACTGCAGTATTCATTAAAAGCCAAAGTGTGTTTGGGACCAGCAGTTGGCATAATGGCTATGTCACTGGACTCCCATGTAGTTGACCATGGTTTGAGTGCCAGACCTGGTGTTTTAAACTCACGCCAGGCACATGTGCGTGTGTGCCCAAGATCCCAAGAGGAGAATGGAGGGCAAGAGACTGCAGTGTGGCCCTCC